TGAGAGCTGATGATGCTGTGTGTGTGTGTTCCTCTCTTAGGTGCAGCATCTTCTCCATGTGTGTCTCCTGAGTCCCGGAGTGTGTCGTGCTCTTGTTCTTCTGTTCTGAGCAACCCGAGGTCATCATGGTGAGTAAAGCGGGAGACGACCCGGACAGCCTGATGTCTCTGTGCTCCGTCTTCTGCCTGAAGAACCTGCGGAGAACCATGTGCTTCAGCGGAGAGCAGAACCGGCTCCAGCTGCGGCCCGACGTCTTCCTGCCCGGCGAGATCTGCGACCGGCTGGTGAACGAGTAGGTAGAGGAGCCTGGAGGAGCTTCAGCGTGTCCTGTGCTGATGTGTGACCTGATGCCTCTGATCCGCAGGTACATGGATCTGCTGCACACTGACAGCGACTTCGAGCCGCAGGACGGCTTCTTCCAGCTCTTCAGTGACCCGCGCAGCACCAGACTGACCCGCCTGCAGCTGAGGGAGGATCTGGTGCGAGACCGAGACCTGGAGGCCATCGGGAAACAGGTGAGAACATCACCAGTGAAGCCAAAGCAGCGTCAGATCTTTTCTTCTGCTTTGTGACATACATCAGAGCATGACAGATTATCCAAAAAGAATAGCTCTCTCTCACAGAGAAAGCTCTCAAAAGTGTATGCAGATGAGCATGATCAAAATATCTGTCCAGTGATGACCTTTTGATTAAATATGAAGCATATGCACAGATGAAGAGTTCAAAATAAGATTTATAACATGCGTTTAGACAGTAGACAGGGTAAAAAATCAAGTTTCATGACGACTTTAAATGCATTTCTTATGTGCGTCACGCCGAGTGAGTCGAAATACTTTCTCTTTCTGTGTTTCTTTCTTTATGGTTGTAAAACAGACGTCTGATGATCACATGACCGACATACTTTCATTTTCAGCTCATCCTGCAGTCTTGTTTGTGATTGTGTGCTAATATTGAACTGAAATGTTTTAATTCAGAATAATATAATATGTGACCCTGGAGCACAAAAGCAGTCTTAAGTCGCTGGGGGATATTTGTAGCAATAGCCAACAATACATTGTATGGGTCAAAATTATACATTTTTCTTTTATGCCAAAAATCATTAGGATATTAAGTAAAGATCATGTTCCATGAAGATATTTTGTAAATTTCCTACCGTAAATATATCAAAACTTAATTTTTGATTAGTAATATGCATTGCTAAGAACTTCATTTGAACAACTTTAAAGATGATTTTCTCAATATTTAGATTTTTTTGCACCCTCAGATTCCAGATTTTCAAATAGTTGTATCTCAGCCAAATATTGTCCTATCCTAACAAACCATACATCAATGGAAAGATTATTTATTCAGCTTTCAGATGATGCATAAATCTCAATTTCACAAAACTGACCCTTATGACTGGTTTTGTGCTCCAGGGTCACAAATATACATTTGCTCTGAAACGGCTAAAATAGTGATTTTCCAACCAAACAAGCCTGTGATGTCAATTCAAATAAAAACATAAAATACAGTAAAGTTCTAGTTCCAAAATAATCAAGTCACATGTCCACAGTTTTTCACTAAATCATAAAAAAAAATCATATTGAGTCATTTTCCTTCATTATAGCAACACGCATTAATAAACAGAAGTATGTAGTGATCCGGGTTGAGGAGTAACGGAATACATGTAACAGCGTTACGTAATCAGGATACAAAAAACTGGTAACTAATTTGTTACAGTTACGTCAAAAAACAAAGTAATCAGATTAGTTACATTTTGTAAAAAATGGGAGTACTCTCAGGATTAGAATGGTTTAATTTTAGTAAGGAATAATTGATGAGGGGCTGTTGAATTATTAGAAAATAATGATCTGAGGCGGTGATGCAGTTATTAATGCAGTGAGAGAGAGAGAGATCAAAAGATCAAGGGAATTTCTTTTGTTGACCCCTATAACAGAAGTTCTCAAACTCATTTAGTCTTTATTAGCTTTTCTGTCCTGCACTGATTCATCATGAGCGGTCTCTGTGTGATGTTTGCAGGATCTGATGGAGCTTCATCTGACCTGCTGTAACCGTCTGACGGCACGCAGCCTGCAGACGCTCTGCAGCTTCAAACACTCGCTGCGGTCGCTCAGTGTCTTCGGCTGCTCCAGCATCTTCTTCAGGAAGAGCGG